GTTCAGTTTCGCATAAGTTGCATAGGCAATGCCACAAGCACCCAGGAAATTTCGAACGATAGCCACATGTGACACAAACATCCGCCCTCCAGCCGTGTAGGCTGCATCGTGTTGAATTTCGGGTCGTGAAATGCGGGAGACCATATACGGGGACCCCATTTGAACAAGGAGCAGACCTACACGCTTGAAGGAACAAACTTTGCATCAACAGCGCTCCGACGACAAAGATCCGAATTCTCCCCCTCCCCCTTCACGGCCTTAAGTCTTGGAATGCATTGCGATCAAGATCATTTTTTGTTTGTTTTTTTTGGCCGCTCATTTCCTGGACCAATTGCTCAATATGAAGGCCAGGGGGGGGCAGGGGGGGTAGATTCGAAATGGTCCCCCGGGCCGTTTTCAGAATGTGGTTCTCGCCTTAGCGCCGCGCACATTCGTTTTCAAATTTTGCAAGGGTTTCACGAATTGAGTGCGGGTCGTTTTCGAAATGTGGCTCTCGCCTTAGCGCCGCGCACATTCGTTTTCAAACTTTGCAAGAGTTTCACGGATTGAGGGCGGCTCCTTTTCAAAATGTGGTTCTCGCATTAGCGCGGCGCACATTCGTTAACAAATGCAAGACTTTCACGGGTTCCCATGATCAATGTACCAGAAATGGTGTTTTGGAAGGGTTCACGATTTTGAGGGCGCAACAGTTTCGATGCTTCGCTGAGTTGAGGTCCCAGGAATGGCGTTCTGGCACGATTCAGGATCGTCATTCATCCGTGGCGTTGGAATACAGAGAATAATGTTTTGGCATGTTTCAGGGTCTTCAAACGGTTGTCGTCCAACGAGGCAGGTCCCTCTGTGGAAATGAACCGTTGTAGGGGCCTATGAAGAGGGAACTTGGGGGGAGGGATTATTCCAACATCGTTGGTGACTCTTGGGTTTACAGAGGTCCTCATCCTACTCCTCTTCCTCCTCTTCTTCCTCTTCCTCATCATCCTCCCCCTCCACCTGCTCCTGTTTCTCCTCCTCCTCCTCCTCCTGTTCCTCCTACCCCTCCTTTTCCTCCTCTTCTTCCTCCTCCTTTTCCTCCTCCTTTTCCTCCTCTTCCTGCTGCTCCTCCTCCTCCTCCTCCTCCTGCTCCTCCTCCTCCTCCTGATCCACCTGCCTCCTCATTCTCCCCCTCCTTTGTTTTTCTCCTCCCACAACGTCCGCACTTTTCCCAAAACCGCCGGAGTTTTCCCCTTTCCTCCAGACCACTCCGCACCCCAGCAGAAACCTCCAGACCCCTCCCATTTCTCTCACCCCTCACCGTCTTACCCCTCTTCCTTCTTCTCCACCTGCCTCCTCCTCCTCCTCCTCCTTCTCTCCGCTCCTCCCTCCCACGTATCCTCCACTTCTCTTCCTCTACCTCTCTTCCTATGCAACCGCTACTTTCGATCGAACCTCGATCATCCATGCAGGTTCGAACCTCGGTACTCCACCTTCGATCGAATTTGGAACGGTTATCTTTGATCCTCCTCGTTCTCATCCTCTCCCGCCCGCCCCCCATCCCCTCCGCACCGTTCAACCTCCAAGTCAGAACTCACCCCCCCGGGGGATAACAAACGCATAGTAGTAGATCGTAGTAGTAGTAGTAGTAGTAGTAGTCGTCGTCGTAGTGGTAGTAGTAGCAACAGTAGTAGTAGCAGCAGTAGTAGTCGTCGTAGTAGCAGTAGTAGTAGTAGAAGTAGTAGTAGTAGTAGTAGTAGTAGTAGTAGTAGTAGTCGTAGTAGTAGTAGTAGTAGTAGTAGTAGTAGTTGGAGGAGTAGTAGTAATAGTAGTAGTAGTAGTAGTAGTAGTAGTACTCGTATTCGACGACTGCTGCTACTTATAGTAAAGTACACTTTGAGCTACGGCTACTGCTACTCATATCAGCACGACCACGACTGTTACGGATGGTTAAATTATTGTTATTCGTATTGTTGTTTTCCCACAACTACAATTTTGATTGTTCAGTCGTGCGATTACTATTTCGAAACGAATATGTCTCCCATTAGCATCACTAGTGCTACGACGCCGACTATTACTACTATTGCTTCTCATAGCTCCACGACTGCTGTTAATATGTCCACCACGATTACTATTACCCACTGCTACTGCTACTACTACGACGACGACTGCTACGACTACGACGACGAGTGTGGCTACGGCTGCACTTAGGAATGCGACTACGGCCGAGAGTGCGACGACGACGACGACAACACCGACGACTACTACGACGAGTGCGAATGCGACTACGACTGCAAGTGCGACTACGACTACTACTACCACTACCACTACTACTACCACTGTTCTTGCTACTATTACAACGATCACTACCACCACCAAAACTACCACTACCACTACCACTACTACTACAACTACTACTGGTACTGGTACTAGTAGTACGACGACGACTACTACTACTACTACTACTACTACTACTCTTACTACTACTACTAGTAGTACTACTAGTACTAGTACTACTACTGCTACCACTACTACTACTACTACTACTACTACTACTACTACTACTACTACTACTACTTTTATTATTACTACCACTACCACTACTACTACTACTTCTACTACTACTATTACGACTACGACTACTACTACTACTACTACTACTACTACTACTACTACTATTACTACTACTACTACTACTACTACTACTACTACTACTACTACTACTACTACTACTACTACTACTACTACTACTACTACTACTACTACTACTACTACTACTACTACTACTACTACTACTACTACTACTACTACTACTACTACTACTACTACTACTACTACTACTACTACTACTACTACTACTACTACTACTACTACTACTACTACTACTACTCCTGCTGCTGCTGCTGCTGCTGCTGCTGCTGCTACTACTACTACTACTACTACTACTACTGCTGCTGCTGCTGCTGCTGCTGCTGCTGCTGCTACTACAACTACTACCACCACTACCGCGACGATTACCGCTACCACTGCCACTACCGCTGACGCTGCCACCTACCGCTGCCACGACTTCTGCCACTACCACCGCCGCTATCACTACTACGGGATTATCTGGTATTACTACGGCTAATATTACGATTACCGCCACTTCTACGACTACTACTATTATTGCTAAGACGACGATTCTGTTTATTACTACTCCTACTACTACCACTTTTTCACAGTTACCGCAATTACTACTAGCACAGCTAAACAACAACAACAACTACTACGATTCATACTACGACTTGTACTAGCACTGCTACTACTACGGCGACGATGGCTATCATTCTTCGTTTTAACATTCGTAATATTACTACTACTAGTATTACTACTACTACTACTACTACTACTACTACTACGACTACTACTACTACCACTACTACTACTACTACTACTACCACTACTACTACTACTACTACTACTACTACTACTACTGCTACTATTACTACTACTACTACTACTACTACTACTACTACTACTGCTACTACTACGACGACTACTACTACTACTACTACTACGACTACTACTACTACTACTACTACTACTACTACTACCACTACTATCAGTCCTACGACTACGACTCTTACTACTACTGCCACTACTACTGTTGCTGTTGCTACTGCTGATGCTGCTAATACTACTACGACGCTACAACAAACACTGCTACTACTGCTGCTACTACTGCTAGCACTACTACTATTACTACGACGACGACCACCACCACTATTCTTACTACGATTCCTACTACGACTACTACTACTACTATTACTACTATTACTACTACTACTACTACTACTACTACTACTACTACTACTACTACTACTACTACTACTACTACTACTACTACTAGTACTACTACTAGTACTACTACTAGTACTACTACTAGTACTACTACTACTACTACTACTACTACTACTACTACCACTACTACTACCTCTACTACAAGTGCTACTACTGCTACTGCGAGTGCTACTACTACTATTACTTCTACTGCTACTCTTGAGGGTTCGCGTATCCCCATCTGCCCATCCACAAACGATGCTCGGGCGAATTGCCCTGACCATGGAAGTGTAGGAGCTCGGGGACGTCCTTGGTTGGGGGGGCCCGTAGTCAGCTGGAGCCTTCTTGGGGCCTTGGAGTCGAAATCACCCATGAGCCTCTGATGTTTCTCGGGAAGCCAATCCATTGAACGATTTTGTTATCCAGTACTTTTCCGCTTCTCCGCTTCCGACGGGCTCTCGAGGCTTCGGGACAGAAGCAAGACGGCCCAAGGGAGGCCCCGGGAAATATCAGAAGGAGCGAAAGATGGTTCCAGAGGTTCCCGAGAGGCCCCCAAGACGGCCCCTCAAAGTTGTGACAGAGAGAACCAAGTCCAGCTACCATGGGGGGACGAAATCAGTTGAGCAACAACTGTTGTTTCACATGATCCATTGGCTTACGCCGCACCGCGCACCGCCGACCCCTTTGGGGGCATTCAAGTTACCCCATGCCATGGGAAACAGGGTTCCTCAAGCTTCGCGGGGTGCATGTCTGGAGCGCGTAGGGCATGGGCATTTGGAGTGCTCCCGGGAGCCATTTGGTTGCCTCTTGGAAGCGTCTTGGGCCGTCTTCGGGCACTCTGGAGCAGTCTAGCGCCTTCTGAGGCCGTCCTGGGGGCCTCTCTGGGGCTGTCTGGGTGGCTTCTTGGGCCACCTTCGGGCCTCTTGCGCCATCTTGAGGTTTTCGGGGGTCGTATTTGGGCCGTGTTTGGACCCTCTTGGGGGCTCTTCGGCCGTCTTTGGACGATCTTGGGGACTCTTTGGCCGTCTTGGACGCTGTTAGCACCAAACAGGCGAATACGTATGCTGAGCATATATGTCATCCGAGTGGGATGGAGCGAACTTTGCCTCTTGGGCGGCAAACACGGCACCATGTGTTCAAATGCAAACACGGGGTAAGTCTCCGAACATTTCCAGAATTCGTCGGGGAACGTTCCAGGAAAGTCCTGGGCTGTTAGGCATTCCAGGCAATTTCGTATTTACACCATCTCTGAGCGACATAGCGTCTCAAGCTCAACTTGAGACGAGGATTTTCTAGTGTGGAGTCCAAGTCCGACACCCCAGAGTCTACTGGGTCGATGGAATCCCTGCAGATTGTTTACAGATCTTTTGGTTACTCATTTCTGTTGATGCATGGAGGCTTATTCGCGGTATTGTTCGTTTTATGTGTGATGCGCGTTTGCGCAGCATTTCGTTCGTTTTGCATGGCCGTCCGCTCTTTCAGTTGCGACCAAGTTCGTTGCAGGACTCATTTCCGATGCGCAAGTGAGCAAGACAGGAGGCTGGAAGCACAAGTCAACGAAGTCCAGAAATCCTATTTCTTCACATTTGGGCCAATACATGTTGTTGCACAGATGTGTATCATTGTATTCTGCCACATCACTTCTGCGAGTGCCGAGCAGAGCGTGCATCCACGTCATGGGTGGCACACCGACGGAATGGTAACTCATTATGCTGCCTTCGCCCCCATGTACATATCAGCCACAGCCATGATGCTAATGCTTGGCGTTTTGCCGAAGTCAACGTCGACGGCTTGGTTGAACGCGCTGAACATCACGACGTCCTTGAGCGTCGTTTTCTTTTCTGCTGTGCCAGATCGTATTCGTGGTTTTCCGGTCGCAGTCGACGACGGTCAATTCCGTGGAGCATTTATGCTCCAGATTTCCCAGTCGTGGGTTTGTGGTAATCCAAAGTTGAGTGCCCTTCTAGTATGTTCCCTTGTACTTTTGAAGGCAATTCAGCAGTCCTTTTGCTGTTCGGATTTTGTTTTGACATTTCTGGTGTTGGCCTTGATGGCGGTATTGAGTCTGATCGCGTTTTGGGGTTTGGATTCGTGCATGAGGCTCATGGCCGCGGTGTATGCGCGGGAGGCGGACGCCACGAAGCATGCGTCTCTCATCGAACGTCTCATGTCTAAGTCGTGCGATGCGTGCATTTATTTGGGACCTCGTTTGGAGATTATCAAGGGTGCCGATCAACTATGCAGCCTGCTGATGTGCAGGAGTGGCCCCGAAAGTTTCAATGGCAGACTATTCACTGAGTTTGCGACGGAGGATGAGAAACCCAGGGTATTGGAATTCATTGCAAGGCTGTCGGAGGCCGATGACGCCGAGCAGGATACTCAGGCGAGCTTTCTTTCCACAAAGCTTCGTGACACACTTGGAATCACTCTCAGGGTGCAGATCTGTCACGCTTGCTTGGGAAGCGGCGACGACCTTATCCACGTGGTCGGCATCAACGAGGAGCAAGATGAGTGGAACACGCAAGGCGTACACCAGAGTCACTTCATTGCGCGATGTCTTGCGAAGGGCGCGGAAGGAGCAGGCCACGCACTCGACTCGCCTGGGCCAAGCCGTGATAGGTCCGACACTTCAGAGTCCGACTCCTTCGATGACGACGATGGTTTCACCTCTGTTGTATCAGTAGGCACATCTGACTCTGGGATGCACGTGGCCTTTAACCTGATCGCTGGAAGCGGGGACGACGCCTTGCCGATCACGTCATGCAGCCCTTCTTTCTCGGTCCTGTTTGGCAACTTCGAGCCTGGTACGTTACTTCGTTCTTTGTTCACGCAGAGAGATTACAACATCTTAGAAAAGTGGGTGACAGATGCCGTGGTCGCAGGGCCACTGGACCAACAGGAGGCTCAGAGAAGCAAGCGGCTGTCATTTCGCCTCCGCAAATTGAACCGCCTGGGCGTGGATATCAATGCTCGCTGCTCCCTGGCGCCTTGCGGGGACGATGCCGCTAGCATGCGCTTGAGCTTGCTCGATATCCAGTGGCTCGCGCTGCAGCAAGAGCTGCCGCGGGCGCAGCGCACCGCCAGGGCACGCGGTAGACGGGACGGCCGTAGCCGCAGAAGATCGTTGGGAACGCCTAGCGGTCCCCCGGCCAGTCCTATCGGGATCGGGAAGCAATTGCAGCATCTCTAGCCTCCTCCGCGTACCAGGTGTCATTCAGTTTCCAAACGTGCTGGCACGCTGTGAATACTTGAAGGTTCCAATGGATGGAGCCCACCAGCAGGGCCGCTCCGGGTGAGGATGTCCACGTTGCCTCAACTCTGCTGTGCTTTTCAAGCGCTGTGAGCGCCGAAAGGCAGCGACACCACGTCACCACGAGGACCCATCCTTGTTTTTGTCCTTGATCGCAGTACTAAGCGCGAGGGATGCAGACGAACGCGTCGGAGCCTCTCGCTCTCGAGGAGGAGTGCGAGAAATCATCGCGCTCTCATTGCCAACAGGACAGAACAACATTCATGTTTGTCATAGCCCCTCGCAGGCTCGAGAGCAAAAGGATGCCGCATCTAATCCTTGGAGCTTTCGCTCGCTGCCGCCCGTTTTGGGCACTCCGAGTCTCGAGGCCGTCTTGGAGACCATCTTGGGCTGTTTGGACGCCTTGGAAAGTGCCAGGGAGTCGTCTTGGCCGCCCAGGGGGCCCCATGAGTAGGGGTGGCGCGCGCCGCTGGGCGCTGCGAGAAAGGGGGGGGGGCCCTAGAACACAACAGAGACCGCTTGGGGCGGAAGGCTCGACTTGTACAACGCGGCGACGGCGGCCGTCGCAGTGACAACAATGGCGGCGAGAGCGCATTAAATGGCTCGCACCATGTAGGAGACACCACTACAGTGGTGACTTCGTCAAGGAACTGCGAGCAGCTGTGAACAACATGCGCACATGCAGGCAGCAGTGAACAAGTCGAGGGCGGGTGCCGACTAGAACCTAAGCGCGCAAAGCGCGTGCGTGTTCCGAGGGACTAGAGCTCAGAAGCGATTGGTTCCAAAACCGTGTTTCATGTTTGGGCCACAGGAGCAGAAGAAGGAGGTGAAGAAGGAGGAATAGGAACAGGAGGAGGACGCTTCCCCCTCCTGATCATCCTCGTCTGCTTGCCCGAGCGAACCAACGGCACTGTACAGAACGCCGCCCTTCGCAACAGAGTCCTCACCTACCCTCACTGAAGCGCCTGTCCGTGGACTACAGCAACAAAGCGACGCTATTGTACCCCAGTCGCCTGTGTTGGTGGGTCTTCGCTTACACATGGCAGTGCCCCGCGTTCTTCCTTCCTCTTCTTTTTTTTTTTCCTCATCCTTCCCTTCGTGCATCATCGGCATCATCATCAGCATCGCCATGACCATCAGCATCCGCATCAATAATATCATCATCCTCATCGTCGTCGTCGTCGTCGTCGTCGTCGTCGTCGTCGTCATCATCATCATCATCATCATCATCATCATCATCATCATCATCATCATCACCCACCATACACGCCTCGTGGCTACAGAAAGCTCCACAGAAGGTCTCAGTAGTAGGGCTCGCAGTTCCCATGTTTGAAAGCAGCCATTTCGGCACACCTCTCACGAGGATCGTGGCCCCACAGGGAGCTCGACCGAAAGCCCCGGTGGCTGGATTCACATTTGTGACGGCGCCGATTTCGGCACACATTTCACGAGGATCGCAGCCCCCAGAGGAAGCTCTACCAATGGCCGCAGCGGCAGCGCTGGCATGCGTGACGGCGCCCATGTCGGCACACCCTCACGAGCATCATGGCCCCATACGTAGGGAGCTCCAAAGTAGGCCCCGGTGACAGGGCTCGCATGCGTGACGGTGCCCACTTCGGCACACAACACGAGGATCGTGGCCCCAGAATGGGCTCCACAGAAGGCCCCAGTGGCATGGGTGCGCATGTGTGACGGCGCGAGCACACCCCTCAAGAGGATCGTAGCTTCCATTGGGAGCCCCACCGCAGGCAACATTGGCAGGGTTCGTATGCGTGACGGCGCCTGTGTCGGCACATCCTTCACGAGGATCGTGACCTCATAGGGAGCTCCACCGCAGGCCACAGCGTTAGGGCTCGCATGCGTGACGGCGTCCATTTCGGCACACCCCTCTCGAGGATCGTGGCCCCCTAGGGAGCTCCACCGAAGGTCGCATTGGCAGGGTTCGCACGCATGACGGCGCCGATTTCGGCACACCACTCACGAGGATCGTAGCTCAATTGGAGCTCCACCGCAGGCTCCAGTGGCAGAGCTCGCATGCGTGGCGACGTCCATTTCGGCACACCATCAACGATGATCGTGGGCCTAGAGGAGCTCCACCGAAGGCGGCATTGGCAGGGTTCGCACGCGTGACGGCGCCCATTTCGGCACACCCTTCACGAGGATCGTGGCCACATAGGGAGCTCACCGCAGGCTCTAATGCGTGACGGCGCCCGTGTCGGCACATCCACCACGAGGATTGAGACCCCATAGGGAGCTTCACGAAAGGCGCAAGTTGCGGTGCGCGTTCCTCGGGCGCGGCTAGAACCTAAGCGCGTGCAAAGCGTGCGCGCGTGGTTCTAGCCGGCGTCCGGGTCCCTGGGCCAGGGGGCGGCCCATTTCCCCCCCCCCCGCCGTCAAAAGCTTAGTCCCAGGAGCCAGCGGCCATTTTTGAGTGGTCCAGGGGTTTCTTTGGACCTCGAAACTCTTTTTCGGCGACCCTACAGGACGCTCAGAGGCCGCAAAGACGCTCCCAAGACTGTTGCTTTTCAGGCGACCCAGGGAGCCCCCAAGAGGGCCCCAAGAACCGCCCCAAGAGGGCCCAAGAGGCCCCCAAGACGAGCCCAAGAAGCTCCGATGACAGCCCGAAGATGCCCCCAGAAAGCCTCCAGATTGCCCACGGAGGCATCCAAAACGGCATCCGAAGGCGCCTGTCGGGCTACGAACGCTCTGAAACAGCCAAGGAGGCCCCCAGGAGAATTCGAGAGGCCCCAGAAGCGCATCGAAGGGGCCACCAATAGACACCAAAGAATAGGCGTTCAATATGCACCGAAGAGCTCCCCCAGAAGATGCTGAGATGCCCCACAGGAGCCCCACGAAGACGACCCATCATGCTCTTGAGGAAGTCCCCAGAGCTTCCCAGTGCCAGTGGCTCAGACGAGACTTCAAGACAGCCCAGGGGAGTCCCAACACGGCCCAAGAAATAGCTTGGGTAGTTCAAGAGGCTTTCGCGGCGTCCGCGAAAGGTGCCCCAAGAGGGCACCCGTTTTTGCATAGCTTTGTTTTAAGTTTGTTGGGTGTACCCGTGTTGTCGATTCGTCTCTGTTGGATCCGCGGCCTTGCATTTTCTAGAGCTAATGCTCAAGGCAACCGTGGTGAGTGCAGCTGTGTGAGCTGGCCACGGGCTGGGGCGTGCTAGAACCTAAGCGCGCGCGCGAAACGCGCGCTACGAGCATTGGAGCGACACGAAGCGAGAAACTAAAGAATTTATGCACGCTGCTCAATGCATTCTTCCTGCAACTCCGCTCGAATCGTAGCCCAGTGCGTTCCTGGAGGAGGAGGAGGAGGAGGAGGAGGAGGAGGAGGCCGAGGCCGGTAATGGCCGCTCCCGCGAAGCATGACAATTAGCTTGGCGAAGGACCCAACCATACGCAGTTGTGAGTGCCGCAACAATGAATCTCGAATTTGGTGGCGTTCCCAATGGGGCCACGAAGCGGGTGAGGGCTGTGCCGAAATGGGGCGGCGGTGCCATGCGAACTTTCTCACTGTGGCTTCAGGTGGATCTCCCTATGGGGCCGCGAATCGTGTGAGGAGTGTGCCGAGATGGGGCGGTGGTGCCATGCGAACTTTCCCACTGGGGCCTTAGCACTGGGGCCTTCGGTGGAACTCACAATGGGACCACGAAACGTGTGAGGGATGTGCCGAAATGTGGCGGCGGTGCCATGCGAACTTTCCCATGGTTGCCTCCGCTGGAACTCCCTATGGGGCCACAAAACGTCTGAGGGGTGTGCCGACATGGTAGACTGATGCGGGAAGCAGAGGCAAGGAGGGGGAGGCGGGAGGAGGGAGTTGGGGGAGGAGGGCGGGAGCAGGTGAGAAGACGCGCGGCGCTGTCTCTTCATGACGAGGACCCAACACCACAGGGTGGTTGGGAAAAAAAGGCTGTGTTATGGGTCGCCGCACGGTTTTGGGACTCGGGCCGTTTTCCGAGGACGTCTCGGGCGGCCTGAGCCTCAGGGTACCAAGACCGTGCGGTGACGGACCGCGCGGTGATGTTGCTGGGGCTTCCCGAGGTCACCACGCGGTCCGTCACCACACGGCGCTGGGCCCCCCAACTCTCGGCCCCTTCTTCTCGGCAGTTCCTTTATTGGCTCCTCCTCTTCCTCCTACTCCTACCCCTCCGCCTCCTCCTCCTCCTCCTCTCGGCGGTTCATTATTGGGGCCCGAGGTTTGGGCCCAAGAGAGCCCCGAGACGGCTCCAGAGCCGCCCAAGACGGCGCAAGAGGGTCCCAAGAAGGCCCCAAGAGGGGCCCAAGAGAGTGAACGCGAATTGAACAATCAAGCTCTCCGCCCCAAAATGTCCCCAAGAGGCCCCCAGGAAGTCCCTAAGAGGCCCCAAGAGGCCTCCAAGAGGCCCCAAGAGGCCCCCAAGAAGCCCAAAAGAAGCTCGAAGAGAGCCCCGAGACGGCCCAAGAGCCGCATCGCGCTATCCTTCGTTACGCGTTATCCTTCAAGCTAGCTAGAACTTGAGCGTGCGCGATGGTTCTATACATACGGCACCCAATACGGCACGATCCCTATTCACAGAACTATGTATCCGCGCCCCCGAGCCCACGACGCCTTGTCTCACACCACATCTGCGCTCCAACGCTACTGATGCCACGTTTCCGAATAACGAACCATGGATCCGCGCTTCTGAGGCCACGAACACGTGTAACAACCTACATGTTCACCACTTCCGCAAGTTCCTGGGAGGCCCAGCGGAGTGACGTCCTTCGGGGACCCCAAAGGGACCTCGCCAGGTCCGCAGATGTCGCCACTTTTGTAAGCTCCAGGGGGTCCAGCCGAGTGGCGTCCCACGCAAGCCCAGAAAAGGGACCTCGCCCTCCCTCGAGACATCCTCAGAATTGGCTCCGCCATCAGCATCAGCATCATCATCATCATCATCATCATCATCATCATCATCATCATCATCATCATCACCACCAGCATCGTCATTATCATCATCAGCAGCAGCATCAGCATCAACATCAACATCATCATCATCGCAGCAGAGCATATGTACAATACCATAACATAACACAACATGCCATACCATAACACCATACCATCGTATAGCATGCCATACCATAGCAAACATGCCATACCAGACATGTCATACCATACCGTACCATGTCATACCATATCATCGCATGGCATGGGATGGCATACCATAACACAACACGACATTACATGCCATGCCATAGCATATTACAACACATTAGTACATACCATATCATAACATACCATACCATAGCATACCATATCACAACATAACGAGGAGCGAGTTCGGAGCGGTCGGAGTAATAACAAGAACCCCATCCTTTGGATATGAGGAAGAACCGGTCCTGGGGAATGGGTCGAGACCTCTGGGGGTCAACGTCGTGACAAAGTCATGACGTCGGGGGTCTGGGTATGGGGTCCCCAGAGCCCTGACCACTTCCCTGTTGCGGGGAGCTCGGAACTCGGAACTCGGGCGTCGTCGGAAAGATGACAGCGGCACGCGGGGAGGGAGGGGAGGAGGTTGGAGGGTTTCTCCAAAGGGCTTAGGCGACCCCTCCTCCTCCTCCTCCTCCTCCTCCTCCTCCTCCTCCTCCTCCTCCTCCTCCTCCTCCTCCTCCTCCTCCTCCTCCTCCTCCTCCTCCTCCTCCTCCTCCTCCTCCTCCTCCTCCCTCCTCCTCCTCCTCCTCCTCCTCCTCCTCCTCCTCCTCCTCCTCCTCCTCCATTCCTCCTCCTCCTCCTCCTCCTCCACCTCCACCTCCTCCTCCTCTCCTCCTCCTCCTCCTCCCTCCTCCTCCTCCTCTCCTCCTCCTCCTCCTCCTACCCTCCTCCTCCTCCTCCTCCTCCCCTCTCTCCTCCTCCGCCTCCTCCTCCTCCTCCTCCCCTCCCCTCCTTCCTCCTCCGCCCCTCCTACCTCCTCCACCTCCTCCTCCACCAACCACCTCCTCCTCCTCCTCCTCCTCCTCCTCCTCCCTCCTCTCATCCTCCTCCTCCTCCTCCTCCTCCCACCTCCTCTCCCACCTCTCCTCCTCCTCCTCCCCCCACCTCCTCCTCCTCCTCCTCTCCTCCCTCCTCCTCCTCCTCCTCCCTCCTCCTCCTCCGCCTCCTCTCTCCACCTCCCTCCTCCTCCACCCTCCTCATCTCCTCCTCCTCCTACTCCTCCTCCTCCACCTCCTCCTCCACCTCCTCCTCCTCCTCCTCACCACCTCCATCCTTCTCCTTCCTCCTCACTCCTCCTCCGCCTCTCCTCCTCCCCTCCTCCTCCTCTTCCTCCTCCTCCTCCTCCTCCTCCCCTTCCTCCACCCCCTCCACCACCTCCTCCCCTCCTCCTCGCTCCTCCCCTCCTCCTCCTCCTCCTCCTCCTCCACCTCCTCCTCCTACCTCCTCCTCCACTCATTCATCCTCTCACCTCTCACCCTCCTCCTCCTCCTCCTCCTCCTCCACCTCCTCCTCCTCCTCACCCTCTCGTCCTCTCACCGCTCATCAACCTCTCTCCTCTCTCCTCTCTCCTCCTCCTCTCTCGTCCTCCTCCTCCTCCTCCTCCTCCTCCTCCTCCTGCTTTTCCTCGCGGAGCCTTCCCCGTCGTTCCGCCTTCGATGCAGTCCAGGCGCTGAGATGAGGACCACCCTCGGGCTCGCGAGAGGGGCTGCGGTGTTCGGGCCGCTCCTGAGTTCCAGGCCAGAGAGCCATCTGCTCTCGCCGTGGCGGGAAGCGCCCCGTGCGTTCTTTCTCCGGCGTTCCCCTCGGCAGGACGCTGGCTGCACCCTGAGATCCGACGCTGCGGCAAAAGTTGCAGCATCGCAAGAAATCACGCCCGGACCCCATCTTTCTGCGTCATTCTTCGAGCCGGATCGATCTGTGAGGGTCTCGGGGCCCGAAGCCGAGCGACAACGCCCATGGTGCAACAATTGCTACACCAGGATCTCAGGGTAACTTAGGCCTATTGCTCATCGCCTCAAGTCGGGCATGTCCCTCTACAGGAGGAAAATTCAAAAATAGTCGCAGAATAATTCGGGGACGATTTTCCGACAGACAATTTTTGATTATTTTCCAGCATTGTCCTTTTATTCTTGAATCGCTTCGCTCATTCCGCCAACCCATATTGCGCGCCGTTGTCGACTGACCGAGTGGTCTTTCGCCGTGCGGAGCTGCAGGGGCGGCGGCTATTTTTATCAGGCTGAACCTGAAGAACAGGTTGCGAGGCAGGAGGCGGATGTTGTCTTGCAGATGGCGCGCCGCGGCGAAGTGGCGGCCTCTGCAACCCTGCTGCCTTGCCTGGATGCCATTCGTGCCCGCATAGCGGCGCGTGAGGCTGCAAGCAGGGCGTTGTGAACTGTCGCACTGTCATAACTGGTCGGTCAACGGTGACCCCCCCCAAAAAAAACATGTGAGGCTTCTTGGTGGCCGCTGGGGGAGTCTTGAACGCGTCGCGGGCCATGTGGAAGCGTTTTGCCTGTGGGGACTCTTTCGGGAGGCCTCTTGGTGGCCGCTTAGCGGACTCTTAAACGCGTCGGGTCGTTGGCACTTGCTTGCGTGCTCGAGGGGGCATTTGGGGTGCCTCCTGGGGCCGCTTGGGGGCCTCTTGGGGGCCTCTTGGGGGCCTGTTGGGGGCCTCTTGGGGCCTCTTAGGAGCCTCTTGGAGACTCCGGGGGGCTTCTTAGGGCCGAGGGCTCGAAATGTTGTTTCGTGTTCCCCTCCTGGGACCTCTCTTGAAGCCGTCTTGGAGGCCTCTTGGGCCGCCTTGGAGCCCTCTTGGGCTGTCTTGGGGCCCTCTTGGGGGCCTCTTGGGCCCTCTTGGGGCGGTCTTGGGAGCCTCTTGGGCCGTTTTGGGTCGTGGGGAACCTGAAAGGTGGAAACGCCAAAATCTGTCCAAAACCTACGGAAAAACAAAAAAACAAGTGGCACGCGTGCCCTGGCTCTTGCACAAAGGAGCTGTGAAGGACTGGGAAGCCTGAACGGAGGAAGGCTGCACGGAGGAAGGTTCC